CTAAACTCTAGCTATTTGTTTTTTTTCAAAGAAGGCTATACCCATATAAGGAAAATTTATGTCCCCGGGGCAGGGCCAATTTTGACCCTAGGGCTTTTATTTGAACAAACTTTGAAGACACTAACTGGAAAATGTTTCATGCTTAATATCTAAACTCTAGCTATTTGGGTTTTTTCAAAGAAGATTTTTTTTAAAGTTTTTGCAATACACATATCAGGAAAATCAATGACCCCCTGGGGCAGGGCACATTTTGACCCCAGGGCTCTTATTTGAACAAATTTGATAGACACCCATTAGAACATCTTTCATGCTAAATATCTTAGCTCTAGCCCTTTGGGTTCTTTAAAAGGAGATTTTATAAGTTTTTACTATATGCATATAGGGAAAATCGATGACCCCCTGGGGCCGAGTCAATTTTGACCCCAGGGCTTTTATTTGAACAAACTTGGTAGACACCCATTAGAAGATGTTTCATGCTAAATATCTTAGCTCTAGCTCTTTGGGTTCTTTAAAAGAAGATTTTTTAAGTTTTTACTTTATGCATAGGGAAAATCAATGACCCCCTGAACTTGATAGACACTCACTAGATGATGTTTCATGCCAAATATCTAAGCTCTACCTCTTTGGGTTTTTTAAAAGAAGATATTTTAAGATTTTTCTATCGGTTGCCATGGCATTCAGAGTTCTGCATGGAATTAAATTCTTTGAACAATTTTTAAAGGTGACCACCAAAGGAACATTCCTATGAAGTTTGGATGAAATTGGCTCAGCGGTTTATTAGGAGATGTCATTTAAAAAGTTTACGGACGACAGACTTTATGACAGGTGAGCTAAAAACACCTGACATTTTAAGTAGGTGTAGACTATCTGTAAGGGGATGTGTTACATATTACAAGCATACACATTTCTCATTTACTATAAAACAACCTCTCACAACTGCATTGGTGAACTGAATTTCTGGCTCAGTGGTATTGAGCGTTGTTTATGAGCATACTTGCTTGAAAGCCACAAATGAGACTGTTACTTAAAACTCAGAGCAATTATTTTCTAGCAAATTAAGTGCCATTAATAAGAGGATTTAACCTCAATCCTGTAAGGTTGTTACAAACTGAATTTTCACAGGGAGTATACATCTTTAATTTCATGTAATAAAGGAAGTATGTACCTGGCCTCCACATAACTTAAGAAGCTGAACAAGATGTTGTCTAGGTGGTTGACATCTGCCTGATATATATACACGTCCTATTCCTTTGAACAATGACTGTCTGCTGTATGGATCAAGGCTGTTTCCACAGTCTAGTCTTGCTACCTGTAGTATGAAACAAGACTGTCAATGTAATAACAGGTACCAAGTTCAATAAATTAGGCTCTTTTAGTATCAAATATATACAGGCAGAGCAAATGATTTTGGATTAAGTTCAATAAATTAAGTTCTTTTGGCACATGCAGATCCAATATATTTTTTGTGCACAATGTATTTCAGATATGAATAGTGTATATATTGGTCACTGAAACAGTAAACATTAATGCAGTCAATATCGCATGATAATATAAGTATTTAAATATACAAATGCTGTCATCAACCTTCAACACAGGTTCATTAGTTTATTCCTTTATATTTTCTGTATCCTAAATTATTAGATAAACATGAATATCTGCAGTTAACTGGAGAAGACAAGCATTAATAAGACCTGATTTTGGCTAAATGTGGACATTTTTGTACTTTTTTATCAATTTTTAAAGTTCATTTATTCTAAGCAACATCCAAATAATATTTTAAAATATCTGTAAAAAGAGACATGTATGTGTCAAAGGTTTATATATCTGATGGTTATGAACATGGCTGGGATAAAATCATTTGAGCCGCGTCACGACAAAACCAACATAATGGGTTTGCGACCAGCATGGATCCAGACCAGCCTGGACATCCGCGCAGTCTGATCAGGATCCATGCTGTTCGCTTACAAACTTTATAACAAGTAGAGAAACTGATAGCGAACAGCATGGATCCTGATCAGATGGCGTGGATGCGCAGGCTGGTCTGGATCCATACTGGTCTCAAACCCATTATGTTGGTTTTGTTGTGACGCAGCTCAATTTTATAATGCAACAGATGGGTGTATGTAGACATTAGTGCATTATTCATCATTGTTTTAAATAAACCATACTCCATATGTATATGCAGTGTTGAAAGCTGACAATAGAAACACTCGATGCTTTACAGACTTTGGAAACTGGCTGAATGGTGAAATATGTAAATACAATAAGTATCATCCAGACATCCAGTCAAAGTACTAATTTGCATTTTACAGAAATTAATTACAAGTCAAGTAATAAATTTATATTTTAAATATATATGATCATTATATATCATTTTTACTTTATATCAATGGTTAAGTCTGCACTGATTTGAAAACAATACTTTACCTTACAAAAAGGAAAAATATCTATACATTCAAACTCTTGTTCTGGAATCCATTTTCCAGCTTCGAGGGAAGATAATACCTGAATAATGCATTATGAATTATCATTATTCAATATCAGATCAGAAGAGGGAAGGTAAAGGGAAGGTAAAAATAACAATCAAAAGAAATGAAAATAATTTTTTAAAAAGTTACATCATTTATAATAATAACATCATGAAATGCAATGATATACTCCGAGTAATTTACAAGATTAACTGGTGAAGAAAAAAAAATCAATTCCCTTAAGGCACAAGATGAGCATCTTAAACATTTTCTCATATGAAAGAAATGAATTTTTCAAACATTATTTGAATTTTGAATCTGCAATGTCAAGTGACACATGACTTAAAATCAGCAATTTACATTGATTAGTCTGTCAATTTACTATTCATGGGTAACTTAAAATTTGACAAAATGAAACAAAGTCTTTGCCTCAATGAAGGTACATGAAGATCAGTAAATTCACCCTGTGTTTGATATGGTTTCCACTATCAAACATTTACTTTCATAGTCATAAGCATGCTCTTCTGTTGAAATTGTTTTAAAGAAAAGTTGTTTTGTTTAAACATGCTTCTATAAGAAACAAATATTTACCCATTCTTTGCTGAGTAACCAAATACCTCGTGCATGACCATAGAGTACATTAAGTGTTCTGCGTGATTCACCACAGATAACATGTGTAGTTGTCTCATTAACATTGTCTGTTATAACAAACCCACCAAGTTTCTTCACCACAGATATCACAACATCCTGTTCACTGTAAAACAATAATAGACAAATCTTTGAATTGAAGTTTAGTTGGGAGACAAATCAAAAATGTTAAAGCATTAAGCCTCCAGATTCATGCTTAATTTCATGGAAACTTTGAAAATGTATTTAAAAGTAAAGTATTATGAAATGAACATAGGAAGTAATTTATGAATTGCAAAAAGCATGTACAATCCACAAAATTACCCAAAAAGAGGTCAGAAGATGCAAAAATAACTCTTACTGTGTCAAGTCATGCAGTAGAAACATGGCAATAAATTTTTAAATACTGAAAAAATCAGTCATTAATTGCACATAGAATGTAAATCATAAAACATTTCTTTTAATTGTATCTTGTTCTATTGAAACTGTCAGAATATAACTGTGTCTTATTCTAAACAAATAAAAAAATTCTTTGTACAACCAGTTTACTTACTATGAATGAAGACTTGTCATAACCAAAGATGGCCGTACTATCTTTCTATGTTGAGACATATTTATATCACCATGTCTTTTACTACTGTTCACACATCTATTAGAATCATTAGATGAAGAGTCACCACAATTCTCTTGTTCACTTATTGAAGTCAAAACTGACCTATCTCTCACTCTACGTTTTTTATTGTTTCTCTGAGAGTTGTTAAATTCATCAATACTGCGACGCTGACTTACTAGAAATGATGGCATATTTGAATCAGTATAAGCTGTTGACATTGATAATGACAATGTTGTTTCTCTTATAGAACATACTAAACCATTATCTTTAGTCAGATTTAACTGTGTTGTAACATCCTGCAGTTTTGTCACTGGTGAATGGCCTGCATTTTCTTTATCAGTTTTGTCAGAGGCCACATCAATACATGTTTCATCAACAAGTGTTTTCTTTCCTCTCTTTGACTTACTTTGTCCTGTCACTGCAGCAACACTACTTCTCTTTTTTCTACCAACTGTACACTTTACATCCTTTTCCAATCCTTCACCAGAAGTTCTTTTCCTACTCCTTTTGTTTACCACATTATCTTTTGTTCTACTGCCTTCATCATTTTCATTACTTTGTTCTTCATTTACAACCTCATTACTTGTATTGGAACTGTCATTGTTACTAGCTGATGCTCTCTCTACATGATCAGCTTTCTTTTTTCTGCCCCGTTTCCTTTTAGCAGGCTCTAACTGTGGTCTATCCTCTGTTGAGAATTTTGTTGGTTCTACTAATACAGAATGTTGTTCTGTTAAATCTGTTAATGACAAAAGTTTCTTTTTCATTGTTTTCTTACCAACTTTAGTTTTAGTAACAGTCAGGTTTTCCTCATCTGTAATATCATTCTTTTGTTTTGGATTTGTCTTTTTATCAACCCCTGAACTACTAGAACAAGCACCAGTGCTACTAGGTTTTTTAATTATTTCCACACTATTTAATGCACTAGTAGCATCATGAACCACCTGTTTTAACTTAACAGGTAAATTAATAACAGCCTGTATCTCCTGAGAGCTTAATAGGTTTTCATCCGAGTCTAAACCAAAAACACAAGACCCTGAACCTTTCCTGTCTAACTGACTAGCCAAAGTTGCGTTGATATTCTGAGCAATTTTAATAATGTCATTATTTACAGAAGATTCACTATCAACACTGGTGTCATGTTTTAATGATTTGTTTGTTTTGTCCTTCTCTGTGACAATGAAGGGATCCTCCTCTTCAACATTAGCATCATCAGAATCAGACATAAATACTGATGTCGTACCATGAGGACTTTCATCTGTACCAGAACGGTTACCACTTGACACCATTGACTCTGAAGAGAGGAGGAATAGGTTGTTGAACATAACTTAAAATTAAAAGTCGAACATACATCATTAAAAACAAACTAGCTTTTAATGTAAAACTTCATGAAAAAAACTACCTATTACCAAATAAAAACTGTTTAAATCAAACAAATTATGAGCTAAAATGAATCATTCTGAAATATAATATTGTTTGTATATTACTTGACATAGAACCTAAATAAAATATTGATAATTCAAAATTCTTGTTATGTCATAATAAAGCAAATCATATTCAAATAACAAAAAAAAATTGTCTGCCCCAACCCAAAAATGAGGGCAGTTAAAAATGTTTTATTTCTATAGATGTTTGATTTATATAAATATATATGTTTTTAAAAGAAAAAAAAATCTTAAAAAGTGAAAAGGCAAATACAAAAGTCTAGAGTCAACTGTTTAAAAAGGGAAGATTAGAAAACCCCTAAAGGAATCTCTTTTGGCCTGAAAATTAAAACAGTAAAGTAAAAACTTTCTCACTGAATAGATTTTTCTGTAACTGTTTGAGATGTAGATGTTTTTCATCATCAACATCATCATTATCACCATCATCACCACCAGTAGTTGATTCAGCACCACCTTCAATCACAAAATTCACAAATCATCAACATTATAGTACATAAGTTTTCTAAATACACTCAAATATACATGTATGTACTAAGTATAGCATTATAATTAAGAATCACAAATAAAATAATCCAGCACAAACAAAAGGCCATGGTTTAATGTTCAAATTTTAACAAGTGAAGTACAAAATATTTTGTCAATAGAATCAGCAATAAGAAGTTTTTTGGTTTTTTTTCAAAGTGCTGTTTTTAAAATATATGTGCCACATCACGACAAAACCAACACAAATTAATGACTGATTTTTCAGTATTTATAACTATATTTCTACTGCGTTATTTTTCAAACCTTCTTTAGCCAGTTTTATTTTCCTCATTCTCTCCCTCATACTAGGTGGGGTATCTGGTATGGTCAGACGTACTGGAGTAAACACAAAACCCTCGTCTTGCTAAAATAACAACAAAGAAAAAACTGATATAAAATAAAATTACTTAAATAGATCTACTAGGCAAAAAATGTAACACTAAAGCAACAAACTGCCTATATTAATGCCAGATCTGTGAAAACATTTTTCAAAATCATCATCATCTGTGATGTCAGTCTAGTCATTGATTTTGACGTAATTAAACACAAACTATTATTTTCATCTTTTTGATCCCCTGACCTAGGGTTAGGGTATTATCTATATACATATTTCTGCTTACATGTATAGTCATATATGGCCAGGTGATAAATAAGTTATACAAGTAAGTTATTAGCATCACAAGCATTCAATAAAAAAAATTGAAATATTTTAATAAATTTACACTACATTTATGACTTTTGACAAGTTTAAATTCTTTATACCTTATTAAAGTGTATCAAGCTGTATATCCACTGCTTGTAGGTTACAAAATTATTTTTATTGTAAAAAAATCCAAAATATCTGTATGAAAGAAATATGCTTGTATATTTTCTTTAACAGCAGCATAACGTTGGTTTTTGTTCTATTTGTGTACAAGATTCATGTGTAAGTTAAAAGATCCTGTATGCTGTAATTAAGGATGTAACAACACTTAAGTGAAATTTTAATATAATTATATCTGTATATAATTATTCTTCTAAAACAATTTCCAATCATCCTAGAATATGCTAAATATATGTTGCAAATGTTTATACGCATTATAGCTAATCATTAAAATATATAGAGGATATTTGTTTGTTTTGCATGTAAGATTGAAATATAATTTCACTGAGTGAACAACAGATGCAATATTTTCACGAGTGGCGTAGCCACGAGTGAAAATATAATAGCTGGTGTTCACGAATGAAATATATTTCAATCTTATATGTAAAACAAATAAATTTTCTTTTTATTTCATGCTTTCTAAGTGATTTTATGTATTTTAAACTGATTTTGCCGCGTTACGTCGCGCATTCTGCTTAGTGACGTCATCACATCATGACGTCACATCATCAATTTTGAAATATAGTTCTGTTAAATTTCTCTAATTTTGTTACATTTTTAACATGATGTATGGTGACATCGACTTTCTTTTCCTACAGAAGCAAAATTTACGCATGACAGTTTTTATTTCTGCCTGTTATTCCATTTTGTTATGATTCTCTTTTCATCCGCATTCAGATATAGTCCGGCTACAGTGAAAATTATATTTTATAAATTTCACTAGTGGTTTATCAGAATATAATCATCTGATATATTACAATAAAACACTGGAAAGCATGAAATAAATGCATTTCTTATCAAAAAATTTGGCTTAGACTTTATCGAAAATAAATTTCTAATTACCTCCCTTTATTTACATGAAATGTGAATTCCGTAATATCTTTACAAATAATGCTTTAAGAACTTGTAATATTGATAAATCTTCATTTGAGCATCAGATTTATTATATACAACCATAAAAAAATTGGGTTACAGGATCTATAAAAAGACATTTAATTTTACAACACAACTATTTCAAGAAACAAGCACGATAGCATAGAACCAACATGGTTCTGCTGTTTATAAATTCTAGTTTTGTAGACTAATATTACATGTAAAACTTTAATCAAAATCGATCTTAGTTCACAATGGGTCACAATTCATTTTTCAATAAAAATCTTAAAGTTATGGGCCTTGGAAAGTGACTCAATATTATTTGTCTGAGACATCTTTTCAAGTTTCAAGTAAACATTTTCAATAGTATTGAAGACTGGTGTTGTATTCAAAATTTTAAAGGCCATATTTTTGTCAAAATCCATTATTATGGGCATTGGATTGTGAACTTTTATTAGGATGTAAAATAAGCGTGTGAAGTTACACACAAATATTTTCAGTGGTTGTAGAAATATGATAATGATGTTGTGAAATAAGCTGCATATAAAATTTGTTTGATGTTTGGATTATAAGAAGAGCAATACCCATATTCAAATACATGTAGTTGACAATTTTCAAAGAAAATGCTTACACAAAGGGGGAGATAATTCTGTAAACATTGGTGCAAGATATCACCCATGACAAATATGATGTGGGTGATGAAGGAGTTTGAAGAACACACATCAAGAAATAAAGAAGTTACAAATAACAATATTTAAAGGGACTCAGAAGATATTTTTTATTTATTTTTTAGTCCATTTGATGTAGGTCTGGATCAATAATTTGTGTGCATATGCAATGCTTTTCACTCAAACTCAATTAAGAATAAAATTGAAAATATGATTTTCAATTTATATTTTTATATGATCTTTTGCATATTTTTCTGTTGTAAGAACCCCAGCTGATCTTTGTAAGTTTGGCTTTTTGACCACAGTGAAGTACCTTTAAGGAAAATTCTAATGGGGAGATAATTATGGAAATATTGTTGCAACAGTTACCTTTTCACATAAGATGAGGGTGATGATAACGAACATAATTATATTTGCAGTTTGAAGTAAATCCCTTAAAAAAGGGACGTTACAGCAAAAAAATATTTTCCTGCACAGTATTCTTAGGACACCAAGGTGAGTTGGACAGCTTTCTATATACTTGTATGGTCAATCTAAATAAATTACAAGTTACCATTCATTTCATATAAAGTTATTATATATAACTAACATGCATTTAACTTTCTTATAAGTGACAAATTTTTGTTTATACATACTGGTGACCTAGGTTGTGTATCTTGTACAAGTATTAATCCTCCAGGTGAACTCAAAGGTGTTGTTGTTGTTACAAGTCTATTTATGGCATCAAGTTTTTTCTTTTTCCTCCGCATTCTTTCCCCACTTCTAGCTAACTCCTCTTCAAAATCACGAGGCTGCATAGACTTCGCTTTCTGAAAGTAAAATTTTCCAAAAGCTATCTTAAAATATTATCACTTATCAAATCTGAACCATCTCTAACAGATATCCTGTAATAAACCAAATTATTACCAGTCTTATACAATCTTTACTTTTCCTTACAAAACCAAAATTTAAAGTTCTAACTTCTTAAGGCAAATTGCTTACTATCATTTTTTGTTCAGCTACTAGAATTGTTAAGAATACTACAGTTAAATATCTATCCTAAACAAGTAAAGCCTAAGTTCTTAACAAAATTCATATCAGTTTTAGTTAAAAAAATAATTAACATACCCTAAGTTTTGTCATCAGGAGTGGTTTTCCTTTAAGATTTGGTACAATTGCTGGAAACATCCTCTCTGAAACATGCTCCTGGTTTATTTTACAACTGCAAAAAAGAAACATGTTTATAGCTGCCAGGGTACATAATATCTTTGACCAGTTTGATGTCGACATCTAGGTGAGTATACTATAATAGCTCTCCCTATTCTTTGAATAGCTGTGATTAAAAGGTTCAATTGGTGTGATATTCATTACCAGAATGTTTGGCTCAATAAATACAACAATTTATTTTATGCTTTTCAGTGGATTACTGATTTATCCGTGAAAATTATATTTGGTAATTTCACAGTGAAAATTATCAAAATATAATTTCACTCTTTTCAATGACGAAACTACTTTTTTAAGATTTTCCCCATGTGGTACCTCAATTTTATTTTTGCTACAATTCTGACAATGTAAGGCTGTTTAAAGAAAAAGCAAAACTGAAATTGATAAATAACTTAAATGTCAAAAGTAATAAAAAGAAGAAAACTTACTTCTATTCATTCAAATTCATGAAATTCCAATCACCAAATTTCGTTTTTTTTGTTTCATTTTGACAGTCTCAAAAATACATTCCTTCCCCATGCAAAACTGCTCTTGATGACATTTGGGCATATTAAAGTATCCTACGAGCAATAACTGCCGTATGCTTTATGAAAAATTGAAAGCATTGACAGCCATAACTCGAAGAATAAGTTAAATCAACCCAGCGTTCTTGAGCAGGTTTCCAAGTTTTCCATTTTCCTAGCTCCTTTTCTGAATGTTTTCACATCTGTCAACACTTATTTTTTGTCTGTTACAATCCTCAAATAAGTTTTCTTTCTTTTAAAAATGTGTATGACTAACAAATCCAAATTATATCCCTCTGAATCTTACACAATTATTTTCCTCCCATGAAATACACAACTTTAAAAAATGGCTGCCGCTTACAATTTACAAAGCCAGGTCTAATATAAATTCGCACTAAGTAACAGAAATATGGATGGATGGTTGGACTTTTTCTCCTACAAGAATTGTTTGTTTTTATTATCAAAACAATCGATCATTCATATTTTTTTAATAAAATTAATAAATGTCACCGTCATTTAATGTGGATTGGCGGACTTATTTTTCAGCTCAAGACTTCTTTTTTTTAATGAGAAATTCCGAATAAATGGGGCTCTCAATGGGGCAAACAGTTTTAATATTAACGTTAAAATTATGGAAATTTCGTTTTAACTTGTTTTTAAGCATAAAATAAAAAGAAAATTTGTCTGTTTGTTGTGTAAGATGTAATTTTATTTCATCTCGTGAACTTTAAAAACAGTATTCTCACTCGTGGCTTCGCCACTCGTGAGAATACTGTTTTTAAAGCCCACTCGATGAAATAAAATTTCATCTTACACACAAACAAACAAATATCCTCTATATACTAAAACAGGTGCCATAACCTCCCTAATCTCCAATGAAACTGCATCAAATTACCAAGGGGGGCAAATTCACATGATGACAAATATTCTTAGAAAGTTCCATGGCACTAACATAACTAGCATTATATCTTTTAAGTTACACAGGACACATTGACAAATGTTATTTATCGCTTAATCAGCTGGAATAACTCTGCCGATTTCAAATAAATTTGTGTCAAAATACTCAGGTGCTTCAGTTCAAATGCTGATAATTATTCTTACAAAGTTTTACAGTTTAATGAGTGGCAATTGTACTTTAAGATTGACAGTACTGACACACAAGTCTGAAAGCGCTATACTTTGTTATATCAGGATGCATATCTCTGCTGATCTCCAATAGATTTAGGAGAAGAAAGAACAGGTTCACAAGTTAACATGCTGACAACAATTTTTAGAAAGTTTTATGGCTCAACAAGCTTCACTCTTGGAGTAAAACGTGACACAAACTACAAATCTATATTCATCCCAACCTCAATAGGTGGGAGCATTAAATCCTAACCCCAAATAATTCTTAATTAAAAAAAATGAAAAAATTTTCAAAAATAAATGCTCAAGCTTTAAAATAACAAATGTATGATTATGTTAATATGCACCAGGACCAGTTTCCTTTTTCTTTGAACATTAATTAAAATTTCTAGTATATATATTTACAATTTTACTTCATGCCCCCACCACCACTCCTGCAGGTCAACCTGGGACTTAAAATTGATCAGGTAGAACTTACTTTTCAACCCAAAGCACAGACACAAGATGTATGCCTTTCTTCTGTGCTTTTGTTCTAGTTCTGTTACTTCCTTCTTTGAACACTACATGTGTTACGTCTGAGGTGAATTTTTTCGTCACAGTTGCACCAAGTTGTTGTAAGACTTTCATCACTGCTCCACTACAGTTGTCATTCTTTGACATCACTTCCACATAAGCCACCACATCTGAATTTAAATAAAGACAATTATTAGTTCCAAACAATTCCTGTATGTTCCACATACAGACTCCACAAAAGTAAGCCTTTCACTAAAGAAATAATATATCCCAAACTGTGATTTTATTGCTCAATAACATCACTGTTTGGAGTTTGGATGTGAGGAATTATATCACGAGGGCGTAGCCTGAGTGATATAATGATGCAAATCCAAACGACAAACAGTGATTTTATCAAACAATAAAATCACCGATTTGAATATATTATTTTGATTCTGCGCCTGATTTGTTACTATACTTATTTTCAGTGTGTCGCATGTTTAGTGGTTACATTACATATCTAATGGTTACAGCACAATTGTCTAAATATTGAATGTCAACAGTGATTTTATTGCATAATTACAGACTCTTTTGGTCCTTCTATATTCAATAGGGAAAAATGTGGGTTGTGCTAGAATATAAAATTATAAATGGCATTTTTTTTTAATTGTTTGAAAATTATGATCCTAGATTCCATTCAAAAATATTGAAATATTTCAAACATAATAAGAGGCAAATTACCCGGTATGCAAAAAGAATTTAAGATTATAAGGCCTAAAATGTGAGCATAGCTTTTTTTTTTGACTATTGGAATCTTGTTCAATACACAAAATGTTTTTGTCAGTTAAAGTATGAAAACATACATCAAACAAGAGCTGTCAGAAGGACAGCGCGCTCGACTTTTTTAGTGCTTGCCTATAAAACAAAACTTTGACAGTTAAGGGCACACAAGACTTTAACTAGGAATTTCTAAGTACAAATCAAGAAACATTTTCACAGAGTTATCTTCTCTTGCTTACAGATAGGTCTCATGATGGCACATAAGAACTCCAACTTCCAAAGTAATATCTCAAATGGTTAGGTCAACAAGTGGACAAGAATGAAAATTTTAACTGAGTTTCTAAGTCAAAAAGGGCCATAATTCAAATAAAATCCTTAACAGAATTACCTTCTCCTGCCCATGTTTGGGACCATGATGGTAAACAAGTATTCCAACTTTCAATTTAATATCTCAACCAGTTCAGTCAAAAAGTTGACTGGTACAAAAAACTTAACCAAGATTCTAAGTCGATAAAAGGCCTTAATTTTTAAAACAAATCCCTGACAGAGTTACCTTCTCTTGCGTACAGATGGGGGTAATGATGTGAAATAGCATTAAAAGTTTTCAAAGCAATATCTCAAAGGGTTAAGGCAATAAGTGGATTTTACCCATATTCAATGTATTTTCTAAGTCAAAAAGGGGCATAATTCTGTCAAAAACCTTGACAGAGTTATGTCCTCTTGTCTGTTGATGAAGGTCGTGATGGTAAACAAGTATGGTCAGTTTCAAAGCAATACCTCCAATGGTTTTGAAATAAAGTGAGGTGGTACAAAAAACTTAACCAAGCTCAATACACTTTCTAAGTCAAAAAAGGGCCATAATTCTGTCAAAAACCTTGACAGAGTTATGTACTCTTGTCTGTAGATGGAGGTTATGATGGTGAACAAGTATGGTAAGTTTCAAAGCCATACTTGTAATACTTCTGAAATAAAGTGGGGTGGTACGAAAAACTTAACCAAGGTGTGACGCCAACGCTAACGCCGACGCCGACGCCGGGGCGAGTAGGATAGCTCCCCTTTTCATAGAAAAGTCGAGCTAAAAAACGGCATTGCAATATCATAATATCATTGCCAAGTTCATAATATAATTCAGTATAGCCCAATATACTCCTAATTATTTAATGTGTTTAGTAATTACATGTACATACATGTAATAACTGAAATGGGCCAAAACTTGATTTTCAGCTAGAAAAAAAGTGTATATCTATCAACTTAATTTTCAACATATGTTTAACATATTTGGTATAAAGAACCAACATAACATTGAAAATGACAAGTGTTTTTTATCTTATTCATGACTTAATTAACAATATTATATTGCCAAAAAAAAAAACATATCTATAGCGGTAAGCCATTAAAACACTTCAAGTCAATACAGAACAGTAATATTTCATTACTTTCACCACTGTTGAGAATTTACTCTGTGATATCAGGTATAAGGATAGGGGTAAACATGTCAGGATTTCTTTTATCCTGCTGTGATATCACATGTATGTTATTAATCAGGCATTTAAAATTCTTCAGAGTTCTTTCTTATTTTTCTCCAATTTTGATGCACTTCATACAGTTAGAATCTAAATATCACAACCATATAACTGCTGGCATCAATTTTTCTTTACATTTGTTGCTCAAGTTGCAGATTGATATTAATATAGACCCTGTACTTACCTTTTAATACTCTATCATCAACAATTTGTGTATCAGGTAGATCCCCATCAGAGTCCACATTTTCATTCAATATATCTGATTCTGACCCTTCCATCTATCAAAAAAAAAAAAAAAAAAAAAAAAAAAAAATCAGACAAATCTTTTATTTATACATTATCAAGTTATTTTAAACACTTTAATAGCATAGGAGAGATAATTATGTTTTAAACATTTAAACACTAGTATTCATCTAAACAAAAATTACTCCTTGTGACTCCTAGTGAATTATGGGAAACTTTTTAGTTCTTGAAAGAATATTCTTCCCCCTGGTTCAGTCTTGTTGTGCGCTCAGGTATTGGTTGAATTGTTTCAGTAATTGTCATTAAGTTTGAAACAGCCTGTGTTCAGGCTCCAGATGATTTTTCAGGGCAATGTGTATTTACTCACTGATTTTTTTGTCAATGAGTTAAATTTGATATCTTGAATTTTGGAGGAGTTATATTGAAAGAGCGAAAATAAGGGGAACTCAACATAACATATTGACAGACACTTTTGCTGTGGAGCTCATTCCAAATAAAATGTTTATTGTTCAACCCAACACATGTACTTATCATGTTCAACTTAATGTAAGCTGTTTTGAGAAAGAAAAAAATCATATTGATAATTAAATAATTAAAGTACTGCAAAATTTAGGAAGTGGCTAGCCGTATGGGCCCGTACGGCTAGCCAAAGGTTCTAGCCGTACGGGAGTCAAGTAGACTCACTGTATTGTCTAGCCGTATGGCACTTTTCAAAATAATGTGAAGTCGAACATGCATGTGTATTTTGTACCTCATGATTACGATTTGTTGTTTTATTTGTATGAAAGATGAATTTTTGTTAAGCACATGGATCGAATAAATAACGATCGGAATGGAATAAATAACAAGAGCTGTCACAGGAGACAGCGAAGCTCGACTAATAAAATACTGGACGCAGTAAGGAGGACAAAATACGAAAGAAAAATCAATTATGTATAATTATGTATTAAGTTATAGTATAAAAGTAACATTTGTTAACATAAATTCCAAGATCAAGGGGAATAATTCTTGAAATAGTTATGCTAGAGTTATGGACCTTGTCACACAACATTTGTGTAATGATAAGAAATATATATTTGAAGTTTGAAGTAGATACCTTAAAAAGTAAAGAAGTTATTATATTTCTTAAAGAAAATCCTAAGTTCAAAGAGAGAAAAATCTGTAAATATTGCTTCAAGAGTTATGAACATTGTCACATAAAATGTAATTGATGATAAGGAATAAGTATTTGAAGTTTGAGGTAGATACCTTTAAAAATAAAAAAGTTATAATAAAAAATAACATTTTTCTAGTAAAATAATCTCAGTTTATGGGGAGATAATTCTTGCAATATTGGTGCTAGAGTTATTAACCTTGTCACATAAGATGTGGATGATGATAAAGTAAATATATTTGAAGTATGAAGTTGATCCCTTTAGAAATAAATAAGTAACAGTAAAAAATAATATTTTTTATGGAAAATTCTAAGTTCAAAGGGAGATAAATCTGAAAATATTGGTGCTAGAGTTATGAACCTTGTCACATAAGATGGGGATGATGATAACGTAAATATATTTGAAGTATGAGGTTGATCCCTTAGGAAATAAAGAAGAAACAGTAAGAAATAGCATTTTTAGAGGAAAATTCTAAGTTCAAGGGGAGATAAATCTGAAAATATTGGTGCTAGAGTTATGAACCTTGTCACATAAGATGGGGATGATGATAAGGTACATATATTTGAAGTATGAGGTTGATCCCTTAAAAAATAAAGAAGTAACAGTAAAAAATAGTATTTTTTAAGGAAAATTCTAAGTTCAAGGGGAGATAAATCTGAAAATATTGGTGCTAGAGTTGTGAACCTTGTCACATAAGATGTGGTTGATAATAAGGAACATATATTTGAAGTTTGAAGTTGATACCTTAAGAAATGACAAAGTTATAGTGAAAAATATTTTACTGCACCAAAACTTTAATCTAAAATCTGGACGCGGACGCCGACGCGAGTAGGACAGCTCTCCATATACTTCGTATAGTCGAGCTAAAAAGAACATTAAAAAAAAAAAGCTGAATGTATAATTTTTAAATATAGTACAGTAGATAAATATCGAACATAAAAGCACAATCAATTAATTAATCAGGGACTGACAAAACAATTTTAGAATTCGTTTCACGGACCATGCAAACTTTTCTTAATGATGGACAAACTTTTATACCATCGGTAATTGACGCAATTATCAGAGCCCAACAACAATTATTTTTTTGTTTCATTTTAAAGGTGTCGAAAATTAAACTTAATGAAACAAAAAAGGATTATCATCAAAATTTTGTAAATTATTTCAATTGATGTTATTTAACTGCGACCAAACGCTATTTTTCCTTGACTCTTGAGATGACAAAGATCGATATTCTTACTTTTTACTGTAGCCAACAAGGAGATTAATCTCTAAAAAGTAAACATACTATGACAATTGCTGTTTCGTGGTTAAAATCTTCGCTTAATGTCATAAAATAACATATGCATTTTCGACTTCCAAACAATTTTGAAAATGCCGTCGACTAGCCAATACAGTGTGTCCTTGCTAGTTGTACGTGACTCACGTACGGCTAAAACATTTGGCTAGCTCAAGGTCTTTCAAATAGAATGGTCTGGAGACAGACCAATTTTATGAAAAATGCTGTCTCACTTGAGTAACGTGATTGGGTTATCTACCGACCGTGATATGGCATAGCACATCACCATTCAAAAATCAAATTATAAGATCATGTTTTGTTAAATTAATCAAGAAATTACTAAAAACTAACTCTGACTACATTATCGTATCAGTTTTAACTTTAAAAGTAACAATTTTATAGATTTGCAATGAAATTAGAAATTTTTCGTTGCTGGTGTCAAGGTAAAAATCTACTGCTCATATTTGAAAATAGGTCCGAGTTTCATGAGCTTTTTTAAATTTATGCATTGTTCAATGACAAAATAGAAATTGATTTTACAGAGAAAAGATGTAATTAAATCGTATCATGTAAAAATATTATAATATTTCACAACATTATTTGCAAATATTTGATGTTTAATTTGGTGCATTTTCAAAATGGTGCCGATTATCGGCAAATATTCTGAACAAACAGTCTATGTTTTTTAACAAACATGGCTTTAAAAGTAACAATTTTATAGATTTGCAATGAAATTAGAAATTTTTCGTTGCTGGTGTCAAGGTAAAAATATTTATCCCTTTTTTTCAATGTTTAAAGATTTTTAAATAACATTATGTCGTTAAAATTTTCATTTTTGCTCTTGTATTTAATATTCGACCTTTTCTTGAACACTTACATAATTTGTTAATAGCAAACTATACCAATTTATACCAAGACATGTTTAATTGTAGCGAAAAGGGTTTACATAGCGTGTTTCCAGACCATTCTATTGAAAGACCCTGGCTAGCTGTAAGGCTAGCCACTTCCCAAAATTTAAGAGTAATTGTAATTATCATAAATCAATGTACTTTAATTTCTGTCAAAGAGCTCGAATTGAGGCTTTACCTTATTCATATAAGTTCAGCTCTGGTGATATACTACTGTACGGACTTCAACAAAACTAGTTTTTGATGATACATCAAAAAATTATGGTTAGTAACTTAGTGATGGATGTAGCTAAAGATACTTCAGCGAACAGGTTTTATAGTTCTGTTAGACCTGATTTTACTGTCGCAACGTCAAAATAAAAGCGACATATAAAGTTATGGAAGCCAGAACAATGATGGATGTTGCGAAAACTAATGATAATTTATGCTCTAATTGGATCTCCTTTTGCTTGATAGTTATCCAGTGGAAAATACATAAAAATGGAAATAAAATAAAAAATAACAAGTTTTACAAATTCCGATGTCTTAAAGAAGTGCTTTAAAAGTTATTTTAATATTTTTCGTTTTTATTTACTTTGAATGTCCCGCAGTTGTTGTTGTTCTCGTTTTGAACGAGATGATATTCGTTCCGGAAACTTTCGACCTTATTAGAAATCCGGGTTAGCTCAGTCCTAAAAACTACCTAGGCCCCGAGTCATCTTGGCCATATACCAACTCGGCACGGGTAAACCCGGCCTTTAATTTTGTATTGCTGGTAATAATGACGTTTATTTTTGTAATATATATATTTTCATCATTTCTTTCATTTTATATTTAATTTAAAAAAGTAGCAATTACAAAATCTAAAATATAAAATCTACATCCAGATAATTTTTTAATTAATGTTTCAATTTTTTAAAAAGAATAATAAAAAACTAAAGATATATTTTTGTAAAATCAGTACAGTACTGTACAGTACTCTTTTTTTACAAATCTCATGAGAACGATATGAGGAATCCCAACCAAAAAAAGGGACAAACCTTGGAATTACCCAAAAACTAGTTTTTCTATGTTAACACGTGCCCTTACACCTAATTCTGGTGAAAAATTGTTGTTTTTTGACATTTTTAATTTTTGCAATTAACCCTTTACCCAATGAGCATATTGCGAAAATTGGCCGTTTACATTGAAAGCCTCCTGTTATATACAAGTTCAAACTGCTATGAAACTATGAAAAATGCTTCATTACTAATGAAACTTGGCACAAATGTTGACTAGACAATAGCCTCTGTAACAACATGCTCAATCGTAAATTTCCTGTTACAATGGCAACGGGGGACGTCTCAATATTGCCAAAAATCACAATTTTGCATTGTTTTTTTTTTCTCCATCAAAACTGATTCAAAGTGCTGCAACTTCTCAATGAATTGAGATAGAGTAAAAGGCTTTTCAGTGTCGGTTACTAGTTACTCTAAGTTCGACCTGAGGCTATTTTTAGCTTGTGACATGTCCAAAATTTTCTTGGCGATGAGGGGGACTACCGTCATCTTCAAACCCCCAAAATATTGGATGGGGGCGGCGCCGAAAAAGTAGTCACTTTTTTAACAACATTTCTCAAACTAAAAACAGTGTTTGGGGCCTAACTAAGGCATTTTTTTCACTGTTTAGGGCCTCAAAAGAGGGGGGACGGGTGACAAAAGCCGCCAAAATACGTCTACATGAGGCAAAAGGTTAACCAACTATATAAGGTCAACCCTAAGTAAGATCCCAAGGAATAGCTCAATTTGGATCCTTGGTGATTTCAACATGCCAAACATAAATTGGTTAAATGAATCCATAACAGATGGCTGTAGGCACAAGACCATGTATGTTTCCCTCTTAGAAAACCTTCTAAATTTAAACTTACAGCAAATGGTTACTTCGCAACACTCTTGATCTCTTCCTAACAAATTTGATATGCCAGGTCAAGTTCACAGCACTAAAACCCTACCCCTCTAGGATCCTCTGACCATGACATTGTTTTCCATGAGTTATAAAGATTAATAGAGGCCGCCACATTCAACCCGTAAGAGAAATCAAATGTTATAAGAAAGCTGACTGGTCAAAACTAAAATGCAACTTCAACTCATTTGCACTATCCTTCCTTAAACAAAATCATACCAACTCAAACTCTGCCTGGCTTTTATTTAAGAATGAATAACCGCCTCAGTTCAATCCATATCCCCTCAAAGAGAACTAAAGTACGTCGCGATCTACCCTGATTAAATCCACACATCATTGGCCAAATAAGGAAACGTGATCGACTGTACAGTCTAATACCCCTTCCCTGGACATGCTTTGCAAATTAAACAAAAGGGCCATGATGGCCCTGAGTCGCTCACCAGAAACAACTGCTTTTCAGTGTTGGAATGTCAATATATTCTAATATTAAATTTGAGCATAGAATAATAAGTGAAGAAATGCCATGACCTGGGGTATTTTAGCTTTAGCTGAAACGGGGCTTATCAAATTTATATGAGCAAACTTGATAAAAGACTACCTAAGAATGCTACAAAGTTTGGTGATCATCTATCGATTATTGCAGTAGGAAATGATGTTCGAAGGTTTTTCCTATTTTTAGCTTTAGTGGCCCTTAAAAGGAACTAATCAAATTAATATAATCAAACTTGATAAAAGAGTACCCAAGAATGCTACAGACAAAGTTTGGTGATTATCCATCAATTGGTTCTGAATTAGAAGATGTTTAAAGGTTTTTCTATATTTAGCTTTAGCTGCCACTAAAAGGGGTCAATCAAATTAATATGAGCAAATTTGATTAATGATTACCCAAAAATGCTACAGACAAAGTTTGGTGACCATCCATTAATTAGTTCTGTATGAGAAGATGTTTAAAGATTTTTTTTCCATTTTTAATTTTAAAGGCCCCTAAAAGGGGTTAATCAAATAAATATGTCTTGAGTAAACTTGATAAAAGACTACCCAATAATGCTACAGACAAAGTTTAGTGATCATCCATCAATTAGTTCTGTAGTAGAAGATGTTTAAAAGTTTTTTTTCTATTTTTAGCTTAAGCGGCCCCTAAAAGGGACTAATCAAATTCATATGAGCAATCTTGATAAAACACTACCCAAGAATGCTACAGACAAAGTTTAGTGATCATCAATCGATTAGTTCTGTAGCAATAAACGTTTAAACGTATATCTATTTTTAATTTTAGCGGCCCCTTAACTAAAAAATTATAAATGTTACAAAACAACATTTTTTCACCAAAATTAGGTGAAAGACCACATGTTAACATGGAAAAACTAGTTTTTTGGTGATTCCAAAGTTTTTCATCATTTTTTATTAACCCTTTAATTACCACATATATACGCGAAACAACGCACTTTCGACCCCCTCTTTTTTAGGCCTCAAACAGTGAAGAAATGCCCTATTTGGGCCCAAACACATGTTTTCGTTTGAGAAATGTTGCTTAAAAAATTTAGCACTTTTTCGGCGCCGCCCCCATCCAAAAGATACATGAGGGGGTTGCCAGAAGGGGGATGTGCCCCCTTCTGTTAGGGGGTTTGAAGCGAGGCGGAGTCCCCCTCATCGCCAAGAAAATTTTGGACTTGTGAGAGGCTAAAAATGACCCCAGGTCGATCATAATGTAACGTGTAACCAACGCTGAAAAGCCTTTGACTCTATCTCAATCCCTTGAGAAGTTGCAGCACTTTGAAATAAATTTTGATGGAAAAAATCGAGGCAAAAAAGTGATTTTTGACAATTTTGAGATGTCCCCTCGTTGTCATGGTAACAGGAAATTTAAGACTGAGCATGTCGTTGCAAAGGCAATGGTCCAGTTAACATTTATGCCAAGTTTGATTAGTATTCATGATTAGTTTGATTAGTTTTCATAGTTTCATAGCAGTTTGAACTTGTAACAGGAGGCTTTTCAGTGAAAACGGCCATTTTTCACAATATGCTCATGGGGGAAAGGGTTAAAGGGGCCAATCAAAATAATATTAGCAGACTTGATAAAAGACTACCCAAGAATGCTGCAGACAAAGTTTGGTGATCATCCATCAATTAGTTCTCTAGTAAAAGACATTTAACAGTATTTCTATTTTTAGCTTTAGCGGCCCCTAAGAGGGGCCAATCTAATTAATATGAGCAAACCTGATAAAACACTACCCAAGAATGCTACAGACAAAGTTTGGTGATCATCCATCAATTAGTTCTGTAGAAATAGACATTTAAACGTATTTCTATTTTTAGCTTTTGCGGCCCCTAAAAAGGGCTAATCAAAATAATATTAGCAAACTTGATAAAAGACCATCCAAGAATGCTACAGACAAAGTTTGGTGATCATCCATCGATTAGTTCTCTAGAAATAGACATTTAACAATATTTCTATTTTTAGGTTTAGCGGCCCCTAAAAGGGGCCAATAAAATTAATATGAGCAAACTTGATAAAACACTACACAAGAATGCTACTGACAAAGTTTGGTGGTTATTTATCAATTAGTTCTGTAGGAGACTATGTTTAAAGGTTTTTCTATTTTTGGCCCTATCGTAGTCCCCTAAAATAGCCAATCAAAATAATATTAGCAAACTTGATAAAATACTACATAAGAATGCTACAGACAACGTTTGGTGATCATCCATCAATTAGTTCTGTAGAAATAGACTTTTAAAGGTTTTTCTATTTTAGCTATAGCGGCACCTAAAAGGGGGCATCAAATTCGTATGAACAAACTTGATAAAAGACTACCCAGGAATGCAACAGACAAAGTTTGTGATCATCCATCCATCAGTTCTGTAGAAGAAGATCTTTAAAGTTTTTGTTTTAATTTTTAGCCTTAGAGACCCCTAAAAGGGGCCAATCAAATTAATTTTAGCAGACTTGATAAAAGTCTACCCAAGAATGCCACAGACAAAGTTTGGTGATCATCCATTAATAAGTTCTGTATGAGAATATGTTTAAAGGTTTTTTTTCCATTTATAATTTTAAAGGCCTCTTGGGCTTTCTTTAGGGATTCAGTTTTTCACTATTTCATTGTCACATCCGTGTTATTTGTGCCGTGTGGCGGCTGTAAAAAGTCTCCCCGTACATTTAATCAATGATGTTATATTTTCGATCCTTGAAGATCGTTCAGCACGACATTATTGCTGTGTATACATTTTATATGGTATTTTTTAGTTTCTTGAATTTGGCCTTTTCAATTTGGGTGGTTCCAGTATTCCTACTTGAATACTGTATAATCACCCTTAGGATATGTCGCCTGCTTTTTAAATTTGTCTTTTGACGTCTTATCTGTGATATGCAGGCTTCATACCCTCAGATCCCCTTTCAAAATTCCATTTTATTTAGTTCCGCCCATTGTTTTCTCGTTTAGGGCACACGCTTTCTTTTACTTGGGGACCATACGCCGCTTTTCATGGAATGACACTCCTGTGTCACATTGAAGGTTCCATGATAACCGCCGTATGAACACATCTGCGGATGTTTCTAAATTCAAAATTTCACCATTTTAGTGTTTAAATGTTGAATTCTGCTTAAGCCGGTGCTAGGGGGCGTGGACGGTAACTTGCAATTTCCATT